TTGACGCATGCGTGGTCAAATAACCTGATACGTGTTTTTCATTGGATCGACGTTCGTAGCGTTCGTAGGCGAAAGGCGAACTGAGCGCGAACGAAGTCGATAAATTGCTACGCACATTCTGCTTTGTTTATGTTAAACTCGAACTGAGCGTGAACTGAACGTAGTTTATAAATCCAGCTTTATGGCAAAAAATAAGGTATAAGGGTGAGATTACAGAATGTCTGCAACTTTGCAGATCTGCAAATATGGCGGCAACTTTGAAAATCTTGCCAATATGACTGACTTACACATGCAAGTATCAAGTTTTCGTATTCCAAATTTGGGTTTAGTGTTGTTGGAGGTAATAAACCACAATAAATATTGCGAATTAGCAGATATTTTTTGGAATACTTGCATTTGTAAGTCCGCCATATTTGCAGATCTGCAAAGTTGCAGACGTTCTGTAATCTCACCCTTAATCAAAACAATAAAAACTTATGTTTATATTGATATAAATAACCAAAGTAGCAACAAACAACAAAAGAAAACCTAATGGATGATCCTCGATAAACAAAGTGAGATTTACTAACCGAGAGAGTTAACTCAATAAAATCCGCCGAAAAGTTAAAATAATTTCAACTTTTTGCGGTTACCTCAGAAAGTTGAAACATTCGCAAGAAAATAGCGCCATCTGGTGTTTAAATTTATTTAAACCAATCACATCAATTCCGCAAAATAAATTTCCGCTTTCCGCTATTGTGAGTAATGGGCTTTAGCAATATGAAATTTGCAACCTATTTAAATAATTTCTTGCTTTCGTTTTTTTATCGAGCTTACGGACAATATTTATATTTACTCCATATTAAATAATTGGACGACTCGGGATAATCTACTACCTTGGAGAGAAAACAATTAATATTGTAAATCGAGCCAAAAATAAGAAATTAACCCAATACCGTTGTAAATAGGCCGTTTAGATAATAAGGGTTTGTTTTGGTTTGAACCGGAACATCGATTGCAGCTTTGAAATACAACTGACGAATATATTTTTCAAAACACTGAACTAGCGCATGCGCTAGTTCAGTTTGATGTCATTTTGGTTCCACTGACATTTAATTCTAACCAAACTTTTACAAAAACATCAATTAATTTGATATATACGTTTTTACTGTTTTTAGTTTTTTTCTAAATATTGTTTACAGGTCATAAAAAATAGTTTAAAGTTATGTAATTGGTAACTAAAGGATTGTATATTTGACGCATGTTATCTACTTACTTTAGGAATATATTTATAAAAGTGAAAAACGATATAATTTAGGTAAACAAAACGAACAAAACGCACTCAAAAAATCTACTGTCACTATTAATTGTCAGTGGAACCATAATTACATCATCACTGAACTAGCGCATTGTTACGATCGTGACACTTGGCGAAATCTGGTGTTCAAAAGCGGAAATAGGTAGCGCTAACAGATGGCGCTAGTAGTACTTTCGAAATCGCAGTAACAAACATTCATGAATAACCTCAGTGGATCGAAAAAGTTCTGGTGCATTCCACTTACTTCGAGATAGCAGTAATTGGGGTATAAAAAGGCTACCGGTGCGACTGTGAGTCAAGGAAGGCGAAGGAAGCAAAACTATCTGTTGTGAAATAAAGTAGTGCGTAACTGCGTTTAAAAGACATCTTCGAAACCGACCAACGCCCTTACGTAACAGTATTTTGATTTGATTTGTTTTTTTTTGTGTGTGATTTACTAGTATGAAAAATAAGCGAAAAATAGACAGCGAATGCAGAACATTCAAAGATCAATGGAACTTTGAATATTTCGTAATTGAGTCCAGTAATAAGGCACGTTTGATTTGCAATGAAACCATAGTCATTCTCAAAGAATATAACATTAAACGTCATAATAAAACGAAATATTTTCAAAATTGCTCAAAATATACAGGAAGTTTGCGGACAAAAAATTTGATGCTTTGAAGCGGGGATTGAAATTGCAGCAAGCTTTGTTTACGAAAGTCAATATAGAACAAGAGGCTGCAACATGTGCCAGATTTCGCGTGGCTCTTGAAATCGCAAAACGTGGAAAACCATTCACAGATGAAGAAATGATCAAAGAATGTGTATTTGCAGTAACCGAAAAAATGTCCCCTGAAAAGATAAATTTATTATAACTGTCAGTTTGTCAGCAAACACCGTTGCTTGGAGGGTACAAGACATCACACAAAATATATTATTTCAATTGTCTGACAAAAATGAGTCATTTTCTCTGGCCTTGGCTGAATCAATGGATGTGTCAGATACTGCTCAGGTGTTGATTTTTATTCGAGGAGTAGATAAAAGCTATGAAGTGTATGAAGAACTTCTTGATATTGATAGTAGGTATTCATGGCACGACTACTGGGGAAGATTTTTTTAAGGGAGTTAAAAATGCCATTAATAAAAAGAATCGATAGAAAAACTTGAAATCTATTAATGGAAAACATGGGTGGTAAAAATAAAGGAGTGGTTGCACTTGTGTCAAAGGCTGTAGAAAACGATGGTGGTTCAAAATAAAGAATTATTTTGCTATTTAAGGTAGTTCACTCGCGACAGTCGTACACAAAAATATCGCCCTTTAGTGAATACCAACCGTTCGAGATTCTTAAATCTAAAGAAAGGTTATTTTTGTAACAGACTGTACACACAACACATGTGATCCTATACACAAATACGCGTAAAATCCATCCTGCAACGTCGCAAATATATTGTGAAACGTCAACTGTATTCCTAAAGTGAAATAAATGTAAATATCAAAATGTTTCATTGTCAGGATCAATTGCGAGATAAAGGAAAATTTGTTAAGTAGAACGTCCTCAACAAAAGCAAAAAAATAATTTTGGCTATGAATGCCAAAAAATTGAGAAAGGAAACCCAAACGTTGAAAATAACCTGTGAAGTGATCGACGCATCGTGGAATTACAGGAGTTGGGAAAACATTTAAAATGTTGCAGGTGTGAAAGAGTTCTTTCTCTTGAAAATATTACAAATGAAACACGAAAGGGCCTTTATTTAATTTTAAATGTTAAATGTAATGAATGTAATATTGAAACTATAGTACATACGGACAAAGTTCATGCAACAAAAAGTGAAGTTAAGCATTCTAATGTCAACACTAAAGCAGTTCTAGTAGTATTTGTTATGTTTATAATTTTTTATTATAATTAATATATTTTTATTTATTTAAAGGTGCTGTCCATTCAGGTTTTGGTCAAACTGCTTTAAATAAATCTCTTGCTGTCATGAACGTTCCTACGGTATCATCAATACTACAGAAAATCATTACTTTTATTTGTATTTTTTTATGACTTCCTCATACTAGTAAGTTAAAATTTTAAATTACTTTATATCCATTTTTTTTGTGTAACTGTATTTTATTTTGAAGGCATGTGTAAATAAAATTATATTCATCTTTTGCATATTTATTTAATTTTGAAGACATGTTTAAATACAATTAAATTTAAATTGTTAAATCATATCAACCTAAAGTATAAACAACGCCCCTTCCCCAGAAGGCCTCGATTAAGTGATAAACTTGACCTGTCTGCGGCAATAAAAAGGTTGGGAAGCACTGATCTAACAGACATTTGAATTAGCGGGCGTTGAGTGTATCGATTACAACGTTGCCAAGTTGTAATCACAATACGCCACTATGCGTCGACTGCTTTAAGAACATTTTTATTTTAAAAATCTATATCTCTCTATCAAAACGGTAAAAAAATTCAGCGTTTTTTTAGAAAATTTTATAACTTCTTGATCTACATTACATTAGTTTTTAAAAAATATGGTAAGAACCGTTTTCGAGATATCTTGAAATAAATGCAATGATTGTGTACATGATAGGGCTTCAAGAGTGTTAATTATGCACATTTTGATTGTTAATGGGCTTCAAGAGTGTTAATTATGCACATTTTGATTGTTAATATCTCGTTTTACAGACGGTCAAAAATTTTAATTTTTTTTTAGGTACATAAAAGACACTTTCATTAACCTCATATTTCAATTTTATTGAATTCTTAAGAAAAGCCGTTTTACGAGTAAACTACCTTAAAAAAAATATTTCCGTGCAAAATAGAAGGTTGCAAATTGGAACAGCCGTTCCAAAAAACTGTATTAGTTATGATATCGGTTTGTAGCACTTTTGCACTTTATCTACGATATAAACAAAAACATTATTTTACAAACAAAATCCGGACTTTCGAAAAAGTTGCATATCTGATATAATGTTGAAAATAATATATATTGTTTCAAGTTTGCAGCACTTTTGCATTTTTTTTTTTTTAGAAAATTATAATAAATTTTAATTTTTTAAATTATTAATATGCTCCGGACCTCAGTAAAAGTTGCAAAATTAAATTTACAATTATTTCAATTTAATAAATATTCCAACAAAGTTTGAAAACTTTTATAATTAATGTGAATCGAATATCTCTAATGACTGGCCTATATAGTCTATCATGCATTCCAATATTCCAGAAGTCTCCGACTGGCTCTGGCTACTGTTCCACAAAACCAGGAGATTTACGCTTTACTACTGATTAGAAACTGAATATGCCATCTAATTACTAGTGGCTTTTCCCCACAAATTTAATTAAAAAGATAATTATTTAATTCATTGAATGACTATTTCCTTATTTGAAAATGAATACAACTGTTAACAAAGTAACAATATACAGGTATGGAAATTTAAAGGCGGACAATCTAAGTCTCTATTAGAGAACGAGCGTAAGTGGGAGTGAGGTCAAGTCGTATATACCATGCACCAGACGGCTTGAGCTGCTCAGCGGTCTTTGTTTCATGCTTGGTCTTATTTATTGTAAAAAAGAGGGTCCACATTTAGATTTCTGTACCTTTAAACTATCTAGACGTTGTCGAAGTAGTAACCACAATGATTTTAATTTCATATTTATTTAACAATATGCATTAGACATGCATAAGTAACAGGAAGGATTTTACGAGTATATATTGGTTTATAACTCACCTAAAATGGAAGAAAACTTCTTTATCATGTTGCATTGTTTCTATGAAACCAAAGCCATCTTTTAATGCTGCAATGAATCCTTGATAAAGTTGACCAGTACTATTTGTAGCAGTTCTGTTAATATTATGTTTAATACCGTTGGTTTGTGATGCTGGATTAATTAATTGTATATCTGCTGCAATAAATTCTTTGTTCCTCTTGACCTGATTAATGTTAAACTGAACCTAAACGGAAAAAACAAAAAAGTGTTAATATGAAAGTATTGCTGATAACACAAAAAGCTGGTTGAGAACCTTCATTAAAAATAAGAGCCCAATAAACTAGATTGTGAGTAATTTATAGTTAATGTCAATTCAGACTGAAAGAAGTTTAAAATTTAATTGGAAATATTTCAGAATCATTAAAAACACCCTTAATGGTTATTTATATCTTCTACTAAAAAAAAAGTTCTCATGGAAATACGAATCAAAATATTAAAATATAAATCAATGTAAACTATCATATAATATTTTAAAAATGTATGTAATTTCAAAACAGTATATCTTTCCTAATACATTTTAAAATTTGCTTTACTTTCAACTTGAAAAATATTGTATACTAGCTATTGCCCGCGGCTTTGCACGCGGGTGTCGTGTTTATAATTTAAAAAATGAATAATTATTAATTTAATGTTTAATAATTTTTAATACCTAATTTTTAATAATTTTCAATAATTTTCAATAATTTTCAATAATTTTGAATGATTTTGAATGATTTTTAATAATTTTTAATAATTTTTAATAATTTTTAATAATTTATTTTAACTAATTTTTATTTATTTTTTAAATATTTTTAAAATTAAAATATAAATCAATGTAAACTATCATATATTTTAAAAATGCATGTAATTTCAAAACAGCATATCTTTCTAATATAAAAAATATATATTTCAACATGAAAAATATTGTATACAGCTATTGCCCACGCTTTGGCACGCGTGGTGTCGTGATTATAATTTAAAAAATGAATAATTATTCATTTTTATTAATTTTTATTAATTTTTATTAATTTTTATTAATTTTTATTAATTTTTATTAATTTTTATTAATTTTTATTAATTTTTATTAATTTTTATTAATTTTTATTAATTTTTATTAATTTTTATTAATTTTTATTAATTTTTATTAATTTTTATTAATTTTTATTAATTTTCATTAAATTTTATTCATTTTTATTAATTAATTAATTTTTAATAATTTTTAATTTTTAATAATTTTTAATAATTTTTATATTTATTTTTATCTTTTTATTTATTTTTAAGTTTTTTTTTGTTTTTTTATTTTCCTCCTTAAAATGTAAAAATCCAAAACCTTGAAATACGTCATTATTTACTTATGGTGAATAGCTACAATTCCAAGTTTCAAATTTCTTCAATTAAAAACCGAAAGTCTTATTCAAACTTTCCCCCTTTCCTCCCTTAATATGTAAAATCCAAATACTTTGAAACATGTATATTTATGAAGAGTACCTACAATTCCAATTTTCAAGTTCCTAACATACAAACTTTCACTCCCCACACATTTTCCCCATTTTCCTTCTTTCCCTCATTTCCCCTCTTACCCCAATTTTCCCTCTTTCCCCTATTAAAATATAAAAATTCAAAAACTTGAAACACACCATTATTTATTTGTGATATGCCTATAAAAAAACTTTTAGTCCCTGTTTCCCCCCTTAAAATGTGAAAAACCAAAAACCCTGAAACACGTCATTATTTATTTATGCACAGTAGCAGTATTTCAAATTTTCATGTTTCACTACCACTATGCAAAAAATTATTTCCGACCCCTTGCTCTGTGAAAAATAAAAAATTGACTCCACGGGAACCGTACATTTTTTTCAGGATATAAAGTAGCCTATGTGCTATTCCAGACTATAATCTATATTTGTGCTAAAATTCATCCAGATCCGTTCAGTCGTTCTTGCGTAATTGAGTAACAAATATCCATACATCCATTCAAACTTTTTCATTTATATATTTATATGATTATGCTTTTATATGTATAGGCTGTATGGACAAGTCTAATTATACCTGTAAACTTCTATTTAAAAAATAATTCTTAAATTCTTAACCGTCATAATGTCGGTATACTGTGGGTAACATTTTTTGAGATACACTTTAAAATGGCACAAGAAAAGTGTTGTTTCTAAACCCTGACACGAAATTTGAATATCAGACATCAAAAGTCTATAAAATGTGTAATTTATTCAACACATATTACACAAACAAAATAAATATGAGTAGAAGCATTAAATGTATTTATAAACAATATTTTCCTTTAACATTTTAAATTTTATTTAAAGAAAAAATGATATTTTACCCTTAACGTGACTACATTTTCTTATTTGTTGTATATGTTATCAGACATTTTGATTGTGACTAAGAACATTTCAGAAGCAAATTTTTTATAAATAACTTTTCCTTAAAACATGAAAAACATACCCTCATTTCTCCTATAAATGTGTATCAATTAAATGCTGCACATTTTTCGAAAGGGGCAATAATTTGTTCGAATTACAGACATGATTTTTTCTACAATCCCAATTAAAAATTATTTTATTCCTTCAAATTTTACTATTAAGAGGAAAATTTACATTACAAACTGAAAGACCTGCGGGGCAACGGTAGTTTAGTAGGTATAAAAATTACAACTTGAGGGTGGAGCCTAAATACTACAAACTTACTTCCGAGACTAAACAAAAACCGCATTCATTCATAATTTTAACAATTGCATGTAAATACGAGGGATACATATTCTAAACTCTAACGCGCGAAGTTGAGACAAAGGAACCGAAAAATCCTACCACGGCTGCCGACGTTCATCAGTTATTGAGCGAGTCAGAGTTACCTAAATTAGGGAAACCAGAATAATATTTGTTTTTCTTGCTGCATTGTGAGATATTGTTATAACGCAGTTCGATTTATTAGACGGTTTTACATTCTTTTTATATTTTAATTTAGTGAATAGCTTTAGTTAGATTAAATTACATTTAGAAGCATAATAGACTTGTTTCGAATAAGGTAATATCAATTAATACAGGGTATTTATTAATTGAGTGCCGATAAAACAAAATATCAAAAGCAGTTTCAATAAACTTAAAAAAAAAAAATTTTTACGCGAAAAGGTTGCGTCGTACGATAGATAATTTTGGTTTTTAGAAAAAGCTGTGGGTACCTTATTTTTCTTCAAAAATATTCAAACCCGGTACGGACGTCACTGGTAAAAATTTTAAAAAGACTTTTATATAATTTTTATTATTACACTGTATGTGACATGGCTTTTTTGTTTGCCTTTTTTGGATTAACAAAATATTATTTTAATGATTTAAAATAAGCTGCCAGTAATAATAATAATTATCTGTACCTAAACATATACAAAGTGAAATCATAAAACGACGCATCAAGGAAGCACCAAATTATTAAACTTTTTTAATCTACGTAACAAGTATTAAAAGTAGTTTTAAAAAACCGACTTCAAAATCGTGCAGATGCCATCACCTTACTAACAAAAAAAAGAATCATAGAAATCGGACAAGGTGGTAAAGAATTATCGCTAAACATACATAAAAAATGAAGAGTGAGGATTTACTCATAGACCTAATTATTAGATTTTGACCAAATATGGGACCACCCCTGAAGTACCCCCTTTCCAGCAAAAAAAGAATACTTGAAATGGGACACAGTGTTAAAGAATTATCGGTGAACATATATAAAAAAATATATTATGACGAATTGAGAACCTTCTTTTTTAAAGTCGGTTAAAAAAGGATATAATAAACTATATTAATTGTATTAACTAAAATCTACTATATGGGATTATATACCTAGTTCACTGCGCAGCCAAATTTATATTTATGGTACAGAATAAAGTAACAAGAAAAAGTTTTTCATATAAAAAGCAGGCTGTTTGCGAGCCACTATATATATTTTAGAGGGCAATCCATATTATATTGGAAAAATAAATAAAATTTTTGTATAATCACAAAAATGTGATATATCTTTTAGAATATTGTATATGTTTATTAAAGTTTACTATTTTTTATAAAAAAAGAATTGTATTCTTCAAAATCTTTCTTAAATTTTTTAACAGGTACAAAATACCTTAATCCGTTTATAGTTATCGATTTTAAACAAGAGGGAGGAGTGGATATCGTCGAAGAGAAACAGCGAAATTAGTAAAGAATTGTAACTCGATTAAAAAACGTTTTTTCTCTTTCCATTTTCTAAAAAAAACCTAATAGACCTTTTTGAAATCGGTTTTCGGTTACTTTTCTTCTGATTTATTGCCTTGAAAATGATATGATTTACATAAAAAACAAAAAACTGACCTATTATTTTTTTTTTAAATAAAAATATTTATTTATTTTTATAATTTTCGACTGTTCTGTTTCCAAAAAAGAAACACGATGTTGTCGAGCAAGTTCTTCTGTAGATATTAACACATTCTTTAATTGGCTTTTTACATTTTTTAGTATTTTCATAATTTGGAAAACAGTATAACATTGAAACTCCTATACGCGAAAAATTGTAAGTACACTCTTAATTAATTGTCTGTTTTTTATCTTACAATGTCGGGTATAAGAAGTTATATAGAAAAAGTTAGTATTCAATATCATCTAGACAAAAAACAAAAACATGTTTAAATGAATATATTAAATAAATTATGACCATTCTTTAACAGAGATATATTTATTTGTATTATGAAAATAATGTTTATGTCAACAAACTTATGTTCGATATTTTTATCAATTTGTAAAGATAAGAACTTGAAGATATCACAGTTCGAAATTCCTTTTATTGACCATAATACTTGTTTTGGAATGGAAGCATTAGTTCCCGTTTCTCAGTTAAGCTCCTTAAATCAATTCATATTTTAATCTGAACGCTACTTAAGCGCAATAAAGTTCCAACAACTAAAAAATACAGTGAACTTTTCGAAAATTTCTAAGTTAAAATGAAAATCAATTTATATTTAAAATTAAATAAGTTTGCTAAAATTTTTGACCCTATGAAGTTATTAAAGTTATAAATAATTACGTTTTAAAGATTCATATGTGAATTTTCAATTTCAATAGTTACTCATCTGCATTTTACAATATCAATACATGACTTGGTTTTGGCACAAAACCCTGTATAGTAAAATTTCAAATCCAAATCAAATTCTTGAAATTATTATTTGGGGACCTA